TAAATCTGATGATTATTTTCACTGTTTTTGGCCTAAATGTCAATTCAAGACAACATATAAACAACATTTAACTAGACATAAAATAATTCATTCAGAAATAAAATCATTTAAATGTGATTTTAATAATTGTAGTAAAAGTTATAAATTGAAATCACATTTAAGTGAACACAAAAATAACATTCATTTAAAAGTAAGATTTATTTGTAATTTCAATGAATGCCACAAAAGTTTTTCAGACAAAAGCAGTTTAATTCGACACAAAAGTTGTGTTCATTTGAATGAAAGGAAATTCAAATGTAATGAAGAAAATTGTGAAAAGAAGTTCACTTCAAAACTTTGTTTAATTCAACACAAACGCATACATTCGGGAGAAAAACCATTTATTTGTCATTTCAATAATTGTAATCAAAGTTTTTCACAAAAAAGTAATCTCAAAAATCACATTCAAAGACATCTGAATATAAAACTTCATAAATGTATTCATAATAACTGTAATCAACGCTTTGTTATGAAACAGGAATTAAAACAACATTAAAATCAATCGAATTTTAAAACAATAAAATTATGAACAAAAGTAAACCAATTATCGAAACATTTATTGCAAAAATTTAAAGAAATATTACAATAAAAATATTTTTAAAAAGCATTTGTAAATAAGTTGTAAATAACAAAATATCATAAATAATATCTATGATATTTTGCACAATATATAAATTATAAAAATGTATTTTAATTAATAAAAATATAAATAAAAAATAAATACTTTTAAATACAATAATTTGAATTAATAAAAACACTTGAAACAATAATTAGCACTTTTTTAAACACTAAAAACACATTAAAATCAATACAATATAGTCTTTATGTGCGGCCAAAGCGTCGGATGTGACGAACCCTTCACTAACTTCTGCGGTAACACCTCTTGTGTCGCGTCAACTGCTTTGCGGACAAACTGTTTGACACACTTATGGCAGGCGTACGGCCGGTGCGAGAGGACATACAGCAGATGCCTAAGTATGTAATCATAGACCGATCAAACGATAAGTTTTAACAAGTATTCAAATTGCATTTAAATTTCAGTTTTACTTTTAAATGAATTATTTTATGTAAAATTTAAGTATAACTTATGTTATTTTGATTTATGGATAAAATTAATATGTGATCGTAATTCACTAGTTGTAACAAAGCGTTGATTACAGTTATTATGAATACATTTATGGCTTTTTATATTCAGATGTCTTCTCATATGAACTGTAAAACTGTCTTTTATGTGAAAACTTTTGATGCAATCTTTGAAATCACACACAAATGGTTTTTCTCCCGAATGCATGCGTTTGTGTTGTATTAGATGATTCTTTTGCTTGAATTTTTTGCCACAATTTTCTTCATTACATTTGAATTTCCTTT